CATCGGCGCCTAACTGGCGTATTCCGGATTCCGACCGCTCTTTACACATCCAACCACGCGTTGCCATCGAAGCATAACACGGGCGGCGGCGCCGGGGCTGGGAACGTCACACCGAGTAAGCTAAGAGAATAGCGTCGGGGCGCTTCGTTGCCTCGTTCTAGCCTGACTTAGTAAGGGTGTCCGCGAACCATGCACGATCTCGGCGAGCCCCTGTGCCGGTTTGCGGCTCCCCCATACTCTACTTTTGCTCCGCAGTTTATCATGGTACTGGCGATCGCCGAACTTTCGGGACCCGTGTCTTGCTTACAGCCCGCGTTTCCAGCGAAGATCGCAATCATGTCAAGCCACTGCGGGAGCAGATCCCGCCCGGCTGTCCCGCCACTGCCAGTCGAGACTGTCCAGCTCTTCTCACCCGCCGCTAACACGGAGGAGTTGGATATTTGCCGGACGGACGACACTCTTCTCACAATCACCAGAAAGGTCTATAGCGGCGAATGTGCAAACCCCCACCTGGATACCAGGCGTCTCGACCTGACGAGAGATGCCGTCCTTCTTCAGTACACCGTCACCGACAACACCGACGTAGCCACGCTATGGCATATCAGAGTCATTTACGGAACGGATTGCCTATATCCTGACGACATTGAGTACCACCTGCTGAGCGAGCAAGACGCATTCACATTCCAACGGCTCGTGACAGGGTATTCGCCACATCAAAGGTTCAAGAACGTGTCCGTCTCCGCCCTGGAGCCGCACACGTTCAGACGGGCCACCACTGTTGACGGCGACGGGGAAGTACAGCTTTGGTTGTCCCAACCGCCAGAGTCCCCAGATGAAGTATTAGGACCCCCTGGGCCGGCACCAACGAGACCCGTATCAATGCTTTCGGCGCAGTCCGGCCCGAGCGTTCGCAGCAGAATTTCCATTCAGACAGATCTAAAGGACAAGGAGCTATCCGTCACAATGGCCGAGCCGCCACCCTTGCTCGTGTTGTTCGGGAAAGGGCCCATGTCGAATGGCAATAGGCGGCACCACATTTGGAGGGTGGACAGTGAGTTATTTCCTCCTTGTGAATATCGCATCTTTTTATTCACCAACGCGTTGGCGTTTGCTAACTCCTCCCCTTCAAAACTAAAAGTCACCGAACTGGAATGTCGGGTCTTGCCAGAGAAACCGAATCAACTGGACCTAATCTCATACAGGTCTTCCGAGTCCAGGTCGGGGAGGCTCAAGTCGTTCGACGTCTATGTCCTTGCGGTACAGGACATGCAATTCTGGAACGTTTGCCGCATCCGACCCCGGTCGTACTGGCGCTATCTCGAGAGGCACGCCTGCGATGTTCTGACACTGAACTTCCGGAGTCGCGAAGATGCCGCTATGTTCCGGGCGGGGGTCGTGAAGCTCCAAGCCAAGGCCATGGGAATCTTTCCGCCCTCACCACCACCATCGGGCTCGATATCGGCGTCGTACTTGACACTGCCATCATTGCATATGACGAGACCAACACCGGGCCCGAGGAACGCCAGTCCAGGGCCTCTGGACGAAGCTGAGGTTCCGGCGCCGCCGCCTGCCGGATCGATACCCAACGACGACACACGGAGTTTCCAAGAAGCGCCCACTGAATCCGAGTATCCACAACCGACTGGTATGCCGACCGTACCAGGAATACAAGCGGGGTTGCGTCCGGGAGATCCACCGGATGGCACAAACTTTGTCGTCGAGCCTAGTGACAGAAGGGAGCTACGGACGAGAGCAGGACAACCAATTTCGACATCCACCCAGGACCCCCGTGAAGTTGCCCGCCCATCGCGACGTGGATGGCACAGCTCGACGGCGTCACAAGTGGGCAGCCAGGGAGGGTGGCTCTCTCGATTTCGCTCCCGATCTTGACCAAAAGCTTCATCGGCTTTATCGATTCTGCGTAAAATTCGGGGTCCCATGGCTTGTCAAACGCCCAGATATGCACACAATGCCACCACAATAACCTTGTATAGATGTTCAAACCATTGTGTGTCAAGGCTCGTTTGTGGCGCCAGTTTCGTCAACAGCGCCAACCGACCACAGTCTGGAAGCCTCTGCGGGCCCAATCTGTTCCCGTAGAGAGATCAAAACGTCGTGAATGCGCTCCGTGCCGGTTTTCTTGGTTTTTCCCGAGATGCTGACAAGCCGGTAGCAAGCAGGCAGAGCAACTTCTGACCCCTCCTCGGGCCCGCCCTTCTTGCGGTACTTCATCATCGCCTTGCTCGGCAAGGCTTCGCCGCCGCTGAGCATGGCGCGGACCGTTTGCCCAAGTCGTGCCACCAAGTGAGGGTAGTGCATGTCCGTTATCTGTGATATCTGGTACTCGGCGTGCGTGGACGGAGCAAACCCCCCTTTCCACCACGGACAAGGAGGAGGGTGGAGAGCAAGCCAGGCATTCACCCCAGCCTCTGAGCTACTACTCTCGACGTCTTTAGACGTGGAAAGGGGTATACCCCGCGGCATAAGTCCGCACAGGACCGCAAAAGGCTCCTCCGGGCGCGAGGAGAAGGTGATGTACAGCAGGCCGGTGAAGTACTGGTAGCTCTCCGTTAAAAAGACGGACATGGCAGGGTCCCAGTACGACGGCCGCAGTGATGCAGGATCTCGGCCTGCCCTTGGGAGGCTGGGGTTGTGCGTCGCCATCTCCCACGTCACCCCCGGTGGCGCATCCACTCCGAACCGGAACGCTTCGTTGAAGCGCCGGCCCAGATGTACCGACTCCGCTCGGGTAATAACCTCAGGGACGTGGACCGGTCTCATGAATGGATCCCAGCTGCGTGAAGCACCGTTGGCCGAACTAATGGTGGTGTCGTCGTCGTCGACAGATATCCTGCCTGCGCAGTGGCGGGCGAACCCAGAGGATGTCTTGACGAGGCGGATGGCGATCATGCTGGAGCGGCCTTTTGAGAGTTGCACCGCAGCGTCGCGGCAGTAGAGATGCATCAGGTAGTCCCCGTTGGCATAGTCCATCTTCAGTGAGGTCTGGAATTCGACGCCGCGGTTCGTGATGGTGAAAAACTGGGTGTCGTGGCGGAGCGGGTCGGCGATGAGTTCTAGGCGACGACACGAGGCGAACTGCTGGGGAGAGCGGGCCAGGACGCCATAGTACGACGGGAGGCTCGGCTTTTCCTCGTCTTCGGACCACGCGAAGAGAGACAGGTCATTTGTTGACTGGGCGATGACCTCTTGCAGCCGGATGAAGGCCTTGGCACCCTCGCCGTAAATCAGAGGCATATTGACACCAAAGATGCCCAGCAGGCAATAAGCAGTGTCCTCCAGCCGCGTCGTCACTCTCTTGGCGGCCCATGACATTTTCCGGGCTACTGGGACGGTCAACAATTCCTCGCTGTTGGAAAGCACGGACACGTCGACGTCGGTAATGCGAGTGATTTCATACCGCAAATCTGCCTTTGTGCCTCTATAGCCCCAGCCGCTATCGTAAAACTCGACAACCTTGGGCGCGATCAGTTCTTGCAGGGTCCAGCCGCGGCTGAACCACCGACACCGGCCCAGGTCGGCACGCAGCTGGTCTCTCGCACGTTGAGATGTCGGGTCCCCGTTCGGGCTTGCAGGGAGATCGGAGAGGTAGGCGTAACACCTGGACGCCTTTTTGTACCACTGGAACATGGAGTTGATGGCCTCGGTCAATTCTGCACTGTTGCTCTTGTTGATGCTGCAGGTGTCGATCCATGCGTAAGCGATGCCATGTCCTCGTGCTAGGGCACAGGTCTGTATAACCTTGGGCCACCCGCCCTTTGCCCTAGCGACGTTGAGATCCGTCATATCATGGAAGCTTATTTCCCCTGCTGCGTCCCATGTATGCGACAAGATGGCGTACGGATAGTCATCAGGCCCGTTCACCTCGAGGAGGCTGTAGTCCTGCACATTGATGAGCCACATGGTCGTGGGAGATGGCGGAACCGCCCGGTGGATGCCTTGACGTTTTTGAGAGAATACCGCTTCCAGGGCGGCCCGAGACGAAGCGGTACGTTTGTCTGTCGGTTGTAGCTACCATTGTGAGGGTGCGGGTCGAAGCCTTGCCCTGCACATCCTTAAAAGCACGACGCGCCAGGCGGGGTGTTTCGTAGGGCACGTGGCTCCGCCATCCCTCGCCTCGCTGTAAAACAGCCACTATTAGGCTCAACGACCCCGACAGTAAAAACGTGACGCACTGCAGCGACCGGTGCAGCGTCTCGGCCTCGCCGCATACGAAAACGACGCGGTGCCGCGCCCCGTCAGCCGGAGCACCTCGTCTTGCCACTCGGGCGTGGTGCGGTAGCTGATCAGGTCCGCTCCCATGGCCTTGACGCGCTCGAGCTTCGCGTTAGAGGAGCTTCCAGCTTGTGGCCTGCTTGGGACGTAACACAGCACAGCGGGAGATGCGGTTGCGGGGAATCTACGAGGCTCAAAACGCTAAGCGGTTCAGTTTCCAATATGCCTCCCAATGGCGTCTCTCCGCTTCCAAGTTCTTATTATGACGTTTTGTTGGGAGATTCAGCCGCCGCCCGATTACTACCCACCACGGCTTTGGGTGCGCCGACGACCGCTGGAGAAAGGCGCAGGGTCTGAAGCCCCCGTCCAACACGCGACGCTAAGCATGTGATGGCGATGCAGGCGGCCCAAAGCCGCCCCGCGGAAAGGGAAAGGTGGCTGTATTGGGTTGTTGGTGGTGCTGAAGGCGACCGTTTGGTGGTGCTGAAGGCGACCATTTGGCGGTCTCGTGGGTGGAATGTAGGGCCGGGCAGTGACAGCATGCGTTCCAGGGCTGAGGCCCGAGACCGAAGGCTTGCAGGTAGCCCACCAGGCTTGTGCCATTGGATGGGATGGCGCAGAATGGCTTGGATACCGTGATTTACATCCAATACTTGGCTCGCCACAGAGCAGCTGAGTGCCGGCCCAGTACCTCAATCGTCCGAGCCGATTCCCATTTATTGAACGCCACGACGCTGGCAGAACAAAAGCGGCCGCCCATTGGCCAACAATTTCGGCGTTTGGAACTTGGAAAAATCCCAATACTAATCCCTCTCTCACTGGTTTGACTAGGGGAGAGCGGACGGGATCCCGTATATTCCAGTGGGTATGGTCGTATGTGGCAGATCTCAGGTAGACAGAGGGTTATATTATAATCGCTGCGGGCCGTGCCTGATTGCCGCTGTTAGCGGTGTTTTTGTGAGCATTTCCCAGACATTTCCCAGGACTAGCAACCTAAAATCTGACAAGGCTGCGTCATGCTACTGTTCTTTGGTACGTATACGTACAAGCATAGGGCTACCCCCTGGCATGAATAAACCGGGCAGGGGCTAAAAAACCAAAAAAAAAATTCGTAGTTTCGGGCCCGCCCCAACCCCGGGTGCTACAGCCGTTGTGCCATCACGGCCCAGCAAATCTAGCTAAGCCCAATCTAAACTAGACCAAAAGGACGAGATGATACGAGTCGGCGGCTTGTATCCTACAGTCGGGCTTTAGTACATTGATGCAAACGAGACACATTTGTATGATTTGACCCCATTCTAGCCATGCCTCTCCCAGCCAACCGAACAGTATTTACTTTGTCCTCTTGTACACAATCGTAACTGCCTCAGGCCCATCTACTCCGCCCATTGAGCTCAAGTTTGGCCGCTGTAGGGTTGCTCGAGCAGCGAATCCAAGCTGATACGATCACCCATCTCGCAGTCGTCATTGAGAGGCGTCTTTTCCGGAATGGTGTCGACGACGGAAAAGCCTGGCCTCCCGCCGTCGGCCGGAGTCCTTTGAAACACGACCATGGTCCTCTTGGCCACATCCTCGACGCCGCTCAAGTTCATCATCTCTCTTCGAGGCTGCATTTGCAGCGGCCCATCATCGTCGCCGTTACGATTCGCGCCTGGCGTCGTCGCTGCTCGGGCTTCATCGTCCGTGCCTCCGTCTGCTGGTGTTGTTGGTGATCTTGCGGATGGGTCAGCCGCCGCCGCCGCCACGTACGGCCTGCCCTCAAGAAGGCCGTACAGCACCAGCGGCAGGACGCTCCCCTTCCAAACCGGTACGGCCGCCGCCTCGCCCCCGAAGCTGCTCCTCGCCACGACGTAAACCAGCAGAGCCGCCGTGACGGCCACCACCCCCACAGGCATCAGCAGCCAAAGCCAGTTGACGTGCGTGCACACCTTCGTCTGCCAAACTTCCCCCACCACCGTGGTGCTCGATGAGTTTTCGTTGGCAAACCCATACAAGCCCTCTGCTGCCCCGCTCATGCGGATTCGGGTGGTGATTACATTCGTAAAGTTGCCTATTGCCCAGGAGATGGAATCGAAGTTTGCGTTCCACTGGGAGGCGATCGACTGTAGCCACCACTTGTTGCAATGAATCGCGTCGTATGGGCGGCCCCTGCCGCCCTCACACACCGCATTTAGGCTTTCTTCGCCAGGGTTTTGCTTCGTTTCCACGAAAATGGAGTGTATTTCCTTTTCCAATCCCTGTGCGGTGGCGCCCCATACCTGGGAAACGCAACTCGATGGCGCTTTAACGATCGTGTCGGGACTGCCCGGTGACTGCCCAGGAAGGACTATGCTCGTATATTCGTCTAGCCTTAGGGATGGCGACCGTGGCGCCGAGGTGATGTTTTCTACCGTGTAATGCTTTCCATCCGGAAAGATACACGGTTCTCTTAACGCGGTCCAATCCTCTTGCGGGGCCGGTATTTTGCGCATCCCTTCAGCCCGAATGAGCGTCTCGTTAAATTGGCCCAATTTGACTTCGGCGTAATAGTATTTAAGGCAGAGGTATAAGTTGCAGGAAACGGCGACAGGTTTGAAGCCTTGGATGCTGTTTGGTGGGGGACCGCCGTTGACAGGAGGGGGCCGGGAGAATGCAACGATGTTGAGGTTGAGCAACGAGGACGGTGCAGCCTCGGCGAACTCATTTGACCACCGATGCTGTGCATACGACTGGCTCGAACCGAGGACGAAACGAGTAAGAATAGGCCAAGAGGTATTATGTATCATCGAGGAGTTTCTGAGTCCGGGAAGAGAATAACGCATGATTTTCGTTTTCGCGTCGTAGTGCTGTTCAAGGAATTCGGACGTGTCGAGGCACTGACTGCAGAGGCCGACCGACAAGTGCGTTACCCCGGGTGAGTGGAAAGGAAAAGTGCAGTTGCCCGTCGGACAGATGGGTATGATGTTCGAATTGTTTCCCTTGGGGCTGGTGAGGCCTGCGATCATGGCACCCTTGAGCTCGTACCCCACGTCTATGGGTGCTCCCGCCAGGTTGCCCGTGTTTTTGAGGGCAAGTGCGAACGCGACTGGGAAGGTTGCCTGACCTTCGACCTGCCGCCGGCACGGAACCGTTTGAACGGCCTGCTGAGTAAACGTTCCGATGGCGAAGCTGGCGACCATGACGAACGCACCGGCCAGGCTGATAAAGCCTGCGGGCGAGGCGGCCCTCGCGGCCCGGCCGACAAACACCCTAATCAGCTCCATGGACCCAATGAGGCCGTGACCGGCCGCTTGGTAAATCTCCAGGTCGGACAGCGGGCGGGCCTGCTGCGGCGACGAGGACGCGAACCAGGACCAGCGGGCCTGGCCCAAGACCTCGATGACCACCACGGCGACGGCCGACCGAAGGAGGGTGGCGAGCAGGGCAACGAGCGAGTTGAGGCTCATCCCGTAGGGTAACTCGGGGAGGGGGCTTCCATTGTGGACAGAGAGGACCGCGGTGACGGCCACGACCAGACCGACGGCGGCAAGGAGGGAGAGCAGCTCCCAGACCCAGATGCGCAGGACCGAGCAGGGCGGACCGGCACCGCAGCGGCGGCGAGAACTGCGCAGGCAGCGACGGCGGCTGTTGGAGAGGCCTGTCTCGTTGCGCCTCTGCCCGGGCGGAAGCGGAAGCGGGGAAGGCGAGGCGGGCTTTACGGATGGCGACGACGACGACGCGGGTGGCTCGACAGTTGCCAAAAATGGCGATTCGCCATCCGCGTCGTGCGCAGCCCCAAGGACGGCTGATGAGAGTGCTGATGATTCTGATGGCGATAATTGGGAGTGCAGCACTTCAGACATCCCGTCTTCGGACACGGCCTCGTTATTGTGCGGAGGGACGGTCTGGGGGAGGGTATCCATGAGCAAACCCGCACTGCTGCTTCCTGTGTAACCATAGGTCTGTGGGCGACCTCTGTCGGGCGGCCCTGGCATTGTGGTCTCGGAACTCGAGCGATTCGTGGTGGCAGCAGCGGGCAAGAACTCGTTTTTCCTCGATGGTCAATCGTAAAGGTTGCTGGGGCTCGATTGGATTGATCATTTTGGGGGGCCCGGCATCTTTAGAAGTTGTCTGTCTGTTGCGGCTCTTGTGAGACTTTTATCCGGCAAAATCACGGCAAGGCACATTCGTCCTGACGCATCTGCACGTCAGCCACCCACATCCCGGTGGCGGCGCATGCAGCGAGACACAACAAGGCTTCGACTCGTAGGACCTTGATGCCGATCGGGACCGCTGATTGGAGCGTCATTGGTAAATCGGGGAACGGGAACGTGTTACAGCCCTCCCTAAACTATGACAGGCTCTCGCGGGATGGATATCTATGGGCGGGGCGAGACCCGATGTCAGCTTCGCCCCGTATCGTCAACCGTACCCGACTTGGCATTGGGGGCCGCCTAACCCCTGGGGCCGTTTAATCTTTGGGGGCCATTTAACGCCGCGGAAACATATGAGCTGAATTTTCATTCCATATAAACTGGGGATCAGAGCAGGATACCATAACCTTCCTTTGGGACGTTGGTGACGGCCTTACTTTGTGTTGCCCTGCAAGCGAGCATCCTGACCCTTTTACCTATGGCCGGGCCGACGCACGGCGCTGACGGATATCTCCTGTCGGGCATGGCATTGTGATGTTGGGAATAGCTTCAAGAGGTGGTCCCAAACGGTCTGCTGCGCACTCAGACGCTTCGTCACGCCCAAGAGGCTAGAGTATCCTGCTCGATTTCCAGTTTGGAAGAGAGAGCTGCAGCTGTAGGCGTCTCCTCGGTCTCCCTCTCGAGTTGGAGCGAAAAAAAAAAAAAAAAACAAGATGGCATCAATGTCAGAGCACAACGGAGTCCCACGAGACGAGAGCCCAATTACCGTCGTCCGCACCGCAAGGCCAGGAGCGGCGACACCTGGAAGCGAAGACAAAAAAAAAAAACAGGATCAACACGGCAGCTCCAAAGCCTAGCCCACACGACTATCAGTTCTCTCCCGGGCCAGTGCGAACGACCAACACCCGGCGTGGCGCAACCGCATCATGTACGGCTCGGACGCCTCTTCCTTGTGGATCTTCCTGCCGTGCCGTGCCGTGCCGTGCCGCCCAGGCTATAGCTTGTGGTGGTCCGCCGAGGGGATAGGGCTGGGTCGCGCCCCGCCCGTGCCACTAGGCCGCCCTTAGGCTTTACTTATCTGATTCGCCTCGGCGACCATTTATTACTGCCGGCCAACCACAGTGCACCACTGTACGTATCTGTGATGGACGTAAGAGGTTACTTCCCCGTATCCGCGCGGATTGGTGAGTACGTTTTGGCACGGCACACACCCAGTTATGACCGCGTAGCCAGCCAGCCCTTGGGACAAAAGCCACCAAAAACGTCGTCAAAGACAATTGATCAGTCGGTTCAGGTTATACAAATGTATTAGAGCAAACGGCAAAAGCAATTCGTCTATAAAACAAAAAAATCGTGGCTTCATAGTCGTGATATGTACGGTATATCGAAAGCCAACAGCAAAAAAAAAAAAAAAAAAAAGAACAAAACCAACAGCTACAAGCGTGGGTATCTGTAGGTACACAAACCACCCGCGTAAAAAAGGGGGGAGGGAGTCCCTCCGAAAAAAAACGAGTGTGCCACCGAAAGCGGAAAACGAATGACCTGAAAAAAACACGGCCGCCGCCCAAACGAAATATGTGATGTGAAAGAGGGACAGGAAGGGGAAAGAGAAAACCCAGATCTAGAACTGGGTCGAAATAAAAAACAGAAAGGAGTCATGATCGTCATACTCGTGGGAGCAGACCGTCGACCGGTCCCGCCTCGGAGCGTCATGATGGCGAAAGATTAGGTTGTTGTTTTTGTACAGATGAGGCCGCCACCTT